GGGTCTGGGGGGCCTCCCCCAGGAAATTTTTAAAATTTAGAGGCTCTCTGGTGTATTTTAGGGCCATTTCTGGGCAAATAAAAGACGAACTAATGTTGCTTTTTTTCATAGCATATTTTTGCCGGTCGGTACATTTATGGCCGAGAAAATAAACTACTTGTCAAAGTATGTATGTCCGCGAGGACTCAATTTCACAAGACGGGGTAAATAAAGAGTTCGCGAGTGATTTTAGCTCACGAAACAAGAGAACCAAGTACAAAAGGAAATGCCGCCCGCCAGATCACTTCAATCATTATCCGATCGCGGGGGGACGTCACAACAATGCGTGAATATCTGTCGGCCCGACGGCTTGTAAACAACGCAACCTAGCCTGGTATCCAGCCTTGTTAGCTTTAGTCCGCTACTCAAGATCCGCTCCCCGCCAACAAGACTGGGCTCGACATTTCGTCTAGCGCATCCCTTGTACTACTGTTAATTGCGGAATGCCCGTTGAAACTGTAGTTTTACTACTGTCCTGAACAGAAACACTACTCATTTTAGGAGTCTACAGTCGTGTATTAAAGATCCATACTCGTTTTTATTCAACATCTCTGAATAAGTTACATGTTGCATGCCGTCTATGTTCAGCCTATATCACGCAGTCATTGTTCTCGCATGCTATATTCCTCTAGCGTAAAGTACAATTTACTAGTACTGCAGGGCTACTAGGATACTTTAGATCAGTTTAACTCTTCACATGTTTTCGCACTATACAGGGCCGAGGTGACGGAGCGTCGGCACGTGTCAACAGAGTCAGATTTTACACCATGAAATTAGCGGGCACGCCCCGCCACGCGCCACTCAAACTTCTCACCCCGCTGTTGTTTTGGCTCCCGCCGTGCTAACGGCGTCTAAGTGTACAGACAATCTTTCCAAAGTGTACGCGGCCAGTCCAGTGAGTCTTTCCTCGCAGACGACCACAACTCAATTTACAAGGCAGGAAGCATAATACAGTACTTTTTCAACGGCTATACTGCTATGTAGTTCTACAGGAAGTATGGCTGTTGACGTTTTACACTTACTTGACATGTACATGATATCAACTTCTAGCGTAAACAATACAGGTCTGAGGAAGGGTGACTGGCAACTCCTTCTAGCGTAAACTACCTACAGGAAATATAAAGCTACTCTATACATGCTATTCAGATATAAACGTAAACTACTTCAGAATTCAACTGGTAGTTTAAACCAACGACGTTAACAGTCTATGACAGTCTATGGCAGTCTCTTTCAATCAGACAGTGGGTTCACAAAGAGCATTCTGCGGGGATGACGTGTCGCGTACGTGTTAACGATCTTATCGTAATCAAGCGGAATGTCCCTATGAACGAACAGGAGTAGAAGCGCGTTGAGACGATCTTCGCCCATGGTGCTCCTGTACGCATTCTTGACAAACCTGAGTGCTGAGTTCGCCCTCTCCACGCCGGCACTTGTCACCGGGGTCAACAGCAGGAGGTGTAACATTTTACACACATTTGGGTAGACCCTTGGGTTGCTGGATGGATGACAGGTGGTTAACTCTAGTGAATGTGGTTTGTCCGGAACACCCTGCCACTGCGTTCGCCATAGTCGAATCTCCTGTCTGAATGTGTGGGGAGATGGTAGGTCGGGCTCGTAGAACTGTTGTAGTTGCTGGATGTGATCTTCCTGGAGGTTGTCAAGGTTGGATGGGATTAGCAGAAGGGCGCGGCAGGCATGTGCTGTAAGCTGCTGGAAGCGCGTCGCGAGCTGCTCCACCATACTGTCGACAAATGGCAGGAACACGGACCTTCTGAAGTAGACTTCAGGTGAGTCAGCCTCCACATTGCTCCGCTGTGTTTGCCTCCCACATCTCCGCGGAATCTCCATATTGTTGCCGACCCTCTCCGCCATCTCAGTGGCTGTACGGAACACACGTGAGAATTCCTCCTCCGCACTCTGTCTGATGGCCCGCATCTCCGTCAGGACGTGGTCCACTTTTTCATAGGCCGTGACGACGTCCATTGTACTGCCTTGCAACAAAACACTGAGAGGCTTGGTGAAGCCGAGGATGAACAAGGCTGACTGAAAGGCGCACAGGAATGCAGGCTTGTTCACTTGTGACAGCAGTCCGCCGGCTTCTGTGCGTGCCTTGGCGTCCCATCCCGCCTCTATCGTGATTGCTTCCAAACACTCCACCAGCGGTTTGTGTAGCTCAGCGAAGTCCTCCAGACAGGTGTGTTTCTCCACCCATCTGGTCTCACACATGGGCTTGATTTTGGTTTTCTTCCATGGTTTGAGACCAGCAGCAACCCTTTCTTCGTTCCCTCTGTCAATCGCCCTTTCCAGCTCCCGCTGTCTCTTCGGTGAGTACTTAAAGAAAAGCCCTACTGTTTTCAGCGTTTCTAGCATACACTGAATGTCTTGTACCTTGCAGGCCTTGCAAAGGGCGAGGTTCAAGTCATGGCTGGCGCAATGGAAATAGGGCGCTCTAGGTGCCGCCGTCCTCTTGAAGTTTGCCGCGCATCCATTCCGCACCCCTGCCATGTTCCCAGCGCCATCGAAACACTGGGCCCTGCAGTTTGCCGGATCTAGGCTGACCTTTCTGAGTTCGCCAACTATGGTGTCGCACAGGGCCCTTCCGGTGATTTCTTCACACGCTGCGAAGAGGAGCAGCCTCTCTACTGGTTTGCCGTCCTTAGTGTAACGGACAAGTAGTCCTAACTGCTCCCAGTTGCTAACGTCCGTCACCTCATCGGCCATGATTCCAAAGTGCGCCCCGAACTCTTGACTGTCTATTTCATGGACGATTGTCTCTTGAATGAACTGTTTCATACAGTCCAGAAGTTGGTTCTGTGACGTTTTGGACACGTAAGTTGCGTTCCTAGCACAGGTGTCCAGGTGTTCTTTCAAAGCCACATCTCCGGCATCCACCCTCAGCTGCAGCAGGGCATGGAAGTTCCCTTTGTTGGAGAAGGGGTCTGCTGTGCTGTCGTCGCGATGTCCGCGGAGAGCGAATCCCTGCCGGCCACACAGCTCCAGGCATTTTAGAACCGAGACAAGGAAGGCGCGGTTCTTCTCAACGCGTTCGGCTGACTGTGACGACATTGATAGGTCAATGCGACGGTCCGGGTTCTGCATCGTTTCGACAAATGCTGTCATCTTCGCCAGGGAGTTTTTATGGTACTGGCACTTTGCGTCGTGGTCTTGCATGTCTGCCTTGGCGTCCTTCCAGTTCGTGTACGGACGCTTGACTAAAAGGCTGGGTTGTCCATGTGATGATGTTGTAGGAAACAGCGTACAACAAAGGCAGTACAGGCCATCCTTTGCTGTCGAATATGCCAGGAACTTGTGTTGGTCCAACCAGTCTCTCTGACAGTACCTGTTCATGACCCCACCTGGCCTTCGCTTGTCCTTGTACATTCTAGGCGGGAACTTGAATCCAGTGGGCGGGCATCTCTCCTGGATGAGTCGGTACTTGGTGACGTCATCAACGTTCCCGTCCGTGAAGTTGGAGATGTCCAAGGCGCGGTCTTCATGACTAGAAGAAGTTGCAACTTGCGACGTGGACGCCGTGGTGTCCGCTACAGATGAAGTCGAAGGTTCCGCGCTGCCCTGAGACTCTGGATCTGACTGGGCGACTGAGCCAGACTGGGAGGATGCAGCACCGAAAAATCTATGTAGATCTGGCTGATGTGCCCCTTTTTTCTTTTTCCTTGGTTCCATACTCTACTCTCTGGACTCTCTAGAAAATACGATTAAAACAGATTTGTTACTCTGTTGTCACAACCCCAAGTATTTTATGTGGCGATCTATCACCTCATCATGAGCGAGTTAATTAACAAAAGGAAACCAGAACGTGTCAAAAATCCTGAGTTACTTCACTGTCAGCTATACTTAGCACATGTGTGCCATCATGTATTATTTGCATTCCTTATGCTTAGGTCACATTTCTAAACCGGGGCCCAGCTGGACTGTAGCCTCCTTCTTAAACTTGTCGGGCGTCGGCGTTATTTTTTTCTGTGAGCGACGCGAGTAATATGCCGCGAAGGGACGATTTTCTGCCGAGGGAGTTTTTGCCGCGGAGAGAAGCTTATTAGGTTTCGCGCGAAACCACGGCGGCAAAATCGTCCCTAAGCGGCATATTACTCGCGTCGCTCGCAAAAAAAAAAAACGCTGACGCCCAACAAGTCTGAGAAGGAGGCTAGCTTTGTTTGCATGAACGAAGAACAATACATATATACATATCAAGTATATACAGAAATAGTGCCCATGATTATTATTAAAACTTTTCTGTGTTTTGTTGCCTTATATATCGTACTTTTCGTTCTCAAAAGCTGCCTGGCCGGCCACGTGTGTGAATTGCGACCACAGCATTACGAACGTCAGATTTTAGAACTACTCATTCTGATCAGAATCTTGTTAGCGACGGACAGTCCTTATTACCAATGTGAACTAGTCATTTTTTGCTTTTATTCAACGGTTGTCTAACTTAGCTGCTATAATTATTCAGGCAAAGGCCGTTTGATACTAGATACAAATTTAGCGCGAGTTGACCGAAAATCGCTGATGACTTTCTAATAAAATACATTGTACAAGCACAAGAAGGAGTTGCAAATTACAGAACATATATTTGGGTATCAAGTTGTGTACTTTTACCAAGTTTAGGCATCACTAGTTCAGATATATAATTACTTACTTGATCAGTTGTTCTCGCATCAGCACGTGTCCCGTCGGTTGTGTCACGATCCGGAGCCCGAGGGCTGACTCCAATGCCGCCGGCCGTCTCTCGAGACTAAAAGTTTCTAAGGTGCCAACTAAACGACGAGCTGTAACTTGAATGCCAGGGCAGTACCACAGTTCAATCAGGACGCGAGAGTAAGAGTATAACTGGCCGTGCCGCCAATAAATATATAACGGGAAACTCAAGCCTCTGAGCGCGGCATGCAGTATCGATAGGCTGATGAACACACTCGTATCAAGGGACGGACTGGAATGATAGGGGCTGCTCGACTTCTCATTTATTAGGGTTGGACTTCCACGTGCTAATTAATAGAAGATGCACCATGCTTTATCACATTTGCATCGGCGTCTTTGCTGTATTCTTACGTCTCGAAACTTAGGAAGTCCACGACAGAGATGTCACCGCTTTGTGGCTGCCGCCTTCAGACTTTCTGTCTGTGTCACAGACGGCAGATGCATGAAGTACCGTTTATCATGAACGTGAAGGAGGGTTGTGAGACCATACGGCCGTCCCTGAGAATTATCGCCTTCCTACAAAATTGAAACGATGCACTACACGGAGTTGCTAATATCACACGTTTGCCCTTATAATGTATTGTCATGTTTACCAGGTTCATTGATCGGTACATAAAAGAAACCTGTCACAAAACAAAGGGTCTAACTAAACAGATCTAATTATACGTATAGCATAGCACAAAGAGTCTTGGGCTACAAGAAAAACATTGAATACCTTATGATTCCCCATCGTTTATTCTCCATCAGCGTATGATTCAAATAATTTTCATAAATACTTTCATGGCCATGTGCCACTACAATCACATCACCCCATACTGAGGACTATTTCCTGCGGAAAACCTTACCACTTGCGGCGCAGGACTTTCTCTGATCTCCAGACTCCCCCAGAGAACGTAAGTTCGAAATATGCATATGGTAAGACTCAATTAATTCTTTGTTTCTAACACTTAACACATCATTGTGAATCCCTTTGACTCCCACCGGAAATTTTGATAGACTAAAGCACATTGACTAGGTCGAGCCAAGATGTCCTTGGTCGAGCTAATTTTTGAATTTCCGTGGTCCAGTCAGGTTCCAGCAGGCACGGTGGCTCCATTCAATTTTTTGTCATCCGCTGACACGAAATAAATTGGAAGCATCACGGCGCTCCCGAAGTTATGTATTCTCTTTACAAGGAATGATTTAAGTTCAGTGGGCATCCGGGAGGAAAGACCGGCGTCACTTTTGAAGACAGCGACACGGCACAGTGCCGTGTCGCCGTGACAGTGTCTTCAAAAGACAGACGCCGTTAGCACGGCGGGAGCCAAACCAAGAGCGGGGTGAGAAGTTTGAGTGGCGCGTGGCGGGGCGTGCCCGCTAATTTCACGGACTGTTGACAAGTGCCGGCGCTCCCCGGCGCTCCCCCCCGGCCCTGTAGACTACAGTCCGCGGCGCGTGTCCTTGAAGAACTACCAGTAGTTGTAACCCTTGTATTTCTTCTACGATTCTGTGTTTGGCCAGTCGTTTTATTATTAAAAAAAAAAATTTTTTTTTGCTCAGTCGAACGGGGGGGCGCGCGCCGGGTGCGCCCCCCTCTGGATCCGCGGATGGGAAAGAGATGACATATATAAGAGATGGCATGGCAGGGGAGTTGGTCCGCTGGAGAGTACAGGTTTGCCGGTGTGTGCATGCAACCATGTTATTTATCTATTTGGCCAATTTCTACTCCTTCCAGCCGCCTCCCAAAGCCTGGTAGAGGCTATGATTTTACACAGCTGTACCTGTCCGAAAACAAGGAGAGCGAACCATCCCCCCTGTGCTGACGCGGCTGCGGCTTCTTCTTCCCCGCAGTAAGTGTTGGTCTTGTTCGCCAGGCACACATCCTAACGGGAAAGGAAACATACACCATTGAGACACTGTACTGTGAGTTATACTGGAGGTATTTGTTTGGCTTATTTAGAAAGTACAATCGAAGTGCGTAAATAACTTCATCAGGTTGGTAAACGAATGAATAGCAAAGTTCTTTGATCACAACCATTTCTTTTTCACGAGCCGACGTTTCGATGACCGTCTGTCATCTTCATCAGGGCAATTCTTACTGGTTTACTGTGAACTATGTAACACCTTTAGTGCACTATGCACCAAGTAACATCTAGCGTCAGTGCACAGCAAACCAGTCAGAATTGCCCTGATGAAGATGACAGACGGTCATCGAAACGTCGGCTCGTGAAAAATAAATGGCTTTAACCAAAGAACTTTGCTATTCATACAATCGAAGTGGTCAGTAAAAATGAGTGTTAAAACACTAAAAGCAAACGGCGAATTAATAAGCACTAAAACTAAAAGCGAAGAACGGCAAAAATAGGGTCGAGGCTCATACTATTACCCTGTCGATTGTAGAAACATTTTCTCCATCCTATTGTAAGAGGCAAAAGGTGAAAATATGAAGCAAGCATAGGTGAAGCAACATGGCAGCTACGTAATGTTTTCTAGGGCGTTAGGTATGGCATATGATTTATTGCGCAAATGCTGTTAATTGAGCAAATGCTACGAGTAGCAGTTAGTGTTAGCAAACTACATGATAAAACTGAGTTTAAAATTATTTATTTTTTTATTCATTTCAACTTTATTTACATATGGTAAAAGGCCATGGGAAAGCAGGAGTATCCTTTAGACTCCCTGACCAAAATTACATGTAAGATAGAAATGCCAATTTCAATAAACAATATATACAAAGAAAATAACAATGATGGTAATTGTGACAAAAATACTGTACCAAAATAATAAATACAATAATTGAATAACCAAAACAATAATTGAAACAACAATTGAGACAATAATTATGTTTAACTGTTCAAGTAGAATCACGTCAGGATTCAGTAGCAACATAAAACAAGAAAACAATTTGCTTAAATTCCAGAAATTGAACTGTAGAAGCATGAAACGCGTTTGAGTCTTTTAAAATGGTGGCTTCAAGAAAAAGAACTTAGCCAGTTGAAAAAGTGCTTATAGATATAAACTAAAGCGGATTGAAAAGAGAAAGGAAAGAAGGAAAGAAGAAAGGAGAAAGAAATGACTAAGAGACAGAAAGAGGGAGAGAAAGGGGGAGAGGAGTAAAGTGAAGCACCTTGTTTTCCAGTGATGAGAAGTTCGGTATGCTCTCAGGGTCCACCTCGTACGCAGGCGCGACGAAATGCGGCAGTCCTGAGAGGAAAGCCCCCAGCGCCAGGCCCAACAGCCCCACTCCTTCAGAAAAATGTTGGAAAATATTCCGTGTCAGACTTTTCTCTTTTTGGCGACGTCTCAGGGAGGAGCCTAATGGTACAGTATTGTGTGCAGTCTGCAAGAATTCTAGGAATGGTACAGGCATTTTGTCCACAGGAATGGAATGTCCACAGGCATGTCTCTGACCCCCATCTATGCCCACATTCCTGGAAACCTTTGGGAAGACCGACCCAGGGGCTCGTTCACTATACACTCAGGGAAGGAGTGCACTGTATCTGTCTAGACTTAACAGGTACCAAGTCTTCCTCAAAATCATAAAATAATGACAGTTCCATGCAAACAATAACCCTAACAGCAACCACTGTCGCCATGGCAATGTATGTTTTCATTGCCAGTCTTGTTTGATTTTTGCTCTGTTTCTTCTTCCCCCTCTTCTTTTTCTTCTCCAAACAAATAAGGCAAATGACCTGAACCATACGTCTGTCACCATGGTAACTAGTGTTGGGTTACATCATGTTGCAATTTTATAGCAGGAGGGATTTAGACTCCTGTCGCCGTATATGTGAACGTGTTTGAGTAACAGAGCAGACCATATGCGAAGGTACTAGTTAAACATCATTATTATGTTTACCGAAGGAAAACATATTGTTTTTACTACGTTTCTTCTTCTTCTGTTCCAAACACTAACCTCTGACCTAGCCAATGGCCTGATTTGTTGACGTCGGTCACCATAGTAACTGGTGTTGGGTTACATAATGTTGTAATTTTATAGGAGGGATGTAGACTCCTGTCTGATCATATATATGAATGTACATGTATTTGAGTATTAGAAGAGCAAACCATATACGAAGATAAACATTATGCATTTGCTTTGTAAATGCTACCTTTCTAGTTATGCATTTGCTTTGCAAATGTTACCTTCCTAGCTACGATTGAAGTTCATCTGTGTAATCATAGTACTTACCGAGTATTTTGGGGCGGCTGTTGCCAGGTTTTCCCCCGTAATACGTGACGAAGAGTACCGTCACCATACTGCCGATGTCCGCGGCGCTGGCCACGATACCCAGGTCCTTACTCGTCAGCTGGAACCTACGGAAAAAGTATCATATTATGATAATCTTTAAATTTAGTTCCCTAAGGGCATCCAATGCAGCAAAATGTCTGTCTGTCGATCACATTTTTTATCATAATTTCATACTTGAAGCATTTGAAATATCCCTAAAACAAGCTACGCTTTGTCCATTTATTTTTTGGTGCCACCAATAAATAGCTAGAACCAACGTACGATACAAAACAAGCAACCATTTTATGTCAGCGACATCGCATTCTACTATTTTACTACTATTTCTCGACAATTTGGTCAACATACATGTATAATGTAGAGTTAACCTACATGTATGGAAAGTATAAAACAAAGAGAAAATCAAGCGGAAGGATACATAAAAAGGCATGTGATCGGACCTTTTTTCCAGGGTAGTGAGGACACCGTTCAAGTATCCTGCCGCCAGGATGATGTTCATCAAAATGGCGAGACACCAGCACAGAACGAACAACTTCGGGTTGGCCAGCCAGGCAGCCCATCTGAGGGACAGGGATAATAATCAATGCATCTATTACTGAATTGATTGATTGATTAATTGATTAATTGATTGATTGATTGATGAAAGGGGAAGAAAGGAACGTAGAAAGAATGGAGGAAGGAAGCAAATAAGGAATGTAAGAAACAAAAAGCAAAAACGAAAGGAGGTAGGAAGGAAGAAAAGAAGGAAGCAAACGAGGTAGTGAGGAAGGAAGGACGGAAAGAAGGAAAGGAGGGAAGGAAGGAAGGAAGGAAGGAAGGAAGGAAGGAAAGAAGGAAGGAAGGAAGGAAGGAAAGGAGGGAAGGAAGGAAGAGAAGCTGAAAGGTATATTGGCAAAAGGAGTTACCGCATCGTACATAGTGACAATAAAAGTTAATAGCAGTAATAAAATACCCTGAAAATGGCGATCTAATGTTAAAATTAGTTTCCAAATCATTTTCAAACTTCCGAAAATGCAGTTATTTCTGTGAAATAAGATGGAACCCTTACTTGGGTTTGCAGCACAGAATACCGCATCGCACGTCCTCTTCCTTCTCATGCGTGTCCGCCATGATGGTGCCGTTCAAATCTCGCGCAGCCTCAGTGAACGCCTTGTCGTCGTAGTCATGGCGACGGGAGGCGCGTCCGTTCTCCATCTTGGATCGAGACCGCCGCTGTCGTCTGCAGGGAGGTTTACGTCACTTGTTGAGCAGATGTGCCGAGTTTTTGTTGAGCAGTTGTGACGACAGCTCTGTTTGTAGATGAAGAGAAAATGGCGTTAGAATTCTTATTTTCAGTGCAGATTGTCGCTAGAAAGGCATTTCACATCGTAAAACCCTGCAACCCCCCCTACTAGAGACATTCATCAATCTCAGCAACTATTTCGCAAAATAAGGAAAATGAAATACGGTTTCGTCTGCAATATTTGGCAAAAGCAAAATATATCTACCATGCCTTAGTTCGTGATCCTAGCATGTCCAGATTATGAGTTATCAAAACTAGCTGCTGTGCCATGATAACCCGCCAGGGGCCAAAACCATGAGGTCTCATCAAGACCTAGCCTTTCCTCCAAATGCATGTATGAAGACGATCCATGTTAGCCTTACACACACACACACAGACACACACACAGACACACACACAGACATACACACAGACAGACACACACACATACACACACGCACGCACGCACGCACGCACACACACACACACACAAACACACACACACACACAAACGCACACACAAACAAGGAAACAAAGAGGGAAGGGAAAAACAATTCATTCACCAATGTTGTTCCCTCACTTTTGGTATGGTGTGACGACACATTTGAACTTCCTAAAAACATTGTTTTCATTTCAACACTCTGGGACATCGTCCCCCGCTATAAGAATGACAGATCTGCAGACGATAACTTGGAAATAGGTCATCAGGTGTTTCTACTGTTGACTATACACGTGCTCACACGACCATTGACACATGCACAACGACAATTGTGCCTTTGTATAGACTTCACAATAAACACCTTATGTTATAATATAAACACTCTTGTTAAGTCAAGAAATCGTTTTTTTTTTTTAATTTAGAAATTAATTCCAAACTCATATTGTAGTATTGGCAGACTTTTTTTGTAATTTTTTAAAACGTTTTCCTTAGCTGTACTACGTAGCCATGCCATGTTTTCTATGCGGGCCATTGGGTCATTGAATGCACTCTAGTGGCCTCGCTCAACTGTGTCAAGGTCCCTGTACTACAATACACGGTAACATAATTGCGGATGTTTGTCACGAAATTAGGGTTAAAACTTGAGCAGTAAACTAGTCCACAAAAGCATGTATTTCTAGAATCGTAGATTATACCTTTTAGAAACTTTAAATGTTGAAGAGGATAGAGGAGTAAATTCTTTTTGTAAAATGTTCGTGTCGTGAGGATAAAATGGACGGATATCAGTTAGCCTGTGTTTACACAATCTCTCGCTGGCTGGCTGGGGTTCAAACAAAAATCTGGGGCAAGAGGTCAGTAAACTGTCGGAAAGGCCGACTCGATTCTCTGTCAGACATTCAGAACCTTCCCTCGAACACCAGCCGAGTTTGGCTGAAGTCTGGCCAAATTTAGCCCACGCCTACCTCTCATTACGACTAGAATCGAATTTGAGTTACGTTTGACTGCCAACCATGTCCCGACCTAATCCAAACACCAGCCAACCACCAGCCAACCATGGACAAAAGTTGTAAACTATTCGGCTCCAGATGTCTTACTGAGGGACGACTGTGGTGTGCGAAAAATGGCTTTTAGCTTGGGGAATGAATTCACTCTACTTTACTGATACAAGAAACTTCGTGAAGTTGTAGCACATTTTCTTCCCAGGCCAGTTAGTAACAGTTAGTAATGTGAGCCGGGATGCTACATATTCTCTAAATTACCGTGTGAATTTAGAGTCTAAAGATAGTTCACAACAAGCTACCTATGGGGTCTTGGTTGTGCCAGATAGCTGCCCCCCTCCCCACAACAGGTGTCGCAGCGAAATCACTCACTTTTCACTATCTGTATCCGGACTACATATGGCACCCGGTGTAGCAGCTATTTCACTCTACATGCCATTACGCCATGCATACAACAGGTTATAGAATATACCAAACATTCTGTCACATTCTGTAAACGTACGCCGCAAACATTATCTAAACTTTACAAAGTGGCCGAGAGCTAGACACCCAGGCTAAAGTCCTACATGAAGGAACAGAAAATCAGTCATATACCCCAAAGCTATAACAACAACAACAACAGAGAGTTTTACCTGATTTGTTTGCTGGGCCTCAACTTTTAAATAGTGAAGGAGAAGAAAGTGTTTGATTTCCGTACTACAAGCTTTTCAGAGTGACTCACATGGTCATATAACGTTACATCCTGGGCGAGTTCTATAAAATGTTTACCGTGTACATAAAAAACACGTTAAGAGGAGAACTTTGGACCCGGGTGATTCTTTGTTGTCTTTTAGCAACAGGTAAGCAAGAAATCTCAGCAACAAGCGAAGTATCGGTAGCATGTTTAAGTTCCTGTAATGCAAAACTCATTTGGGGCCAGCTACTAGTGTACAACCAAATGTTTTGGTCTATTTGGTCTGTCAGATTTTCTAAGGTTTCCTATCATCTACGAGCAAACGCTAGCCATCTCTGTGCAAAATCAAAGTATTGTAAAAAAAATCTTGACAACCGGTTCTTACAAAAATCGCGAGTGAAACTAATCTGGATAAACAAGCAAATGTGGCGCGATTTCTTCCATAACACTACGAAGTTAGCAGTGAGGAAAACAAGCCGCCAAGCCTAAAATCTAATCATTTGAAGGTTTTTATCAAGATCTACCCACCTACTTAATATCAAGACAATCCAGCTAAGTCATCTTGAATTATCTTGTTTACAGACACACGCGCGCGCGCGCGCAGACAGACACAGACACTCACAGAAACACACACACACAGAGACACAGAAAGACAAACTCAAACACACAGACAGACACAAACACAAACAGACACTCACAGGAAGACACACACACAGAGACAGACACAGAAAGACACACACACACAGACACACACAAACACACAGACAGACACCCACCCACACACAGACAGACACTTACAGAAAGACAGACACAGACACAGAAAGACACACACAAACACACAGACAGACACACACACACACACAGACACTCACAGGAAGACACACACAGAGAGACAGACACAGAAAGACACACAGACACACACGCACAAACACACAGACAGACACCCAAACACAGACAGACACTCACAGAAAGACACACAGACACAGAAAGACACACAAAAACACACAGACAGACACACACACACAGAGACACTCACAGAAAGACACACACACACAGACACTCAGAAACACACACACACACACACGCACAGACAGACAGACACTCACAGACACACACACACACACACTCACAGAAAGACAGACACACACACACACACACACACTCACAGAAAGACAGACAGACACACACACACACACACACACTCACTCACACACACACACACACACACACTAACATGCACTAACATGCACTAACGCTACCGAAAACATAATGTAAAACAGCACAAAGACGCTTTTCAAAACTCGTAAAAAGACCAGGTATCTTACCTTCGCTTTGGTCAAACACTACCGGAATAATCAAGCCATAAAGATCATTAAAACGCCAAGTGAAGTGTCTCAAGCTTACAAACTATAAATCTTGACCAGCCCCCAAGTGTTGAATGTTACAAAAGAGCTTCTACAAATACACTGATATACACTGATGCTACACATGTTAAGGCCTTAAGCAACATCTGTTAGCAACATCACCACAAGAAACAAAACCGCGAAGTCCTAAGAAGTCACAGATGTTGAAAACATGTCGGGGAAGATACTATACTATTTCATGCAGCCATATACAAGACATTTCTACCATTTTTATAACTTAGTATTGAGGTTTTGCTGACTTGAGTTGATTGAAAACTTAAATCAAAGCAGTCCCTAAAGCTTTAATAAAATGTTTTGTTGCAAAAGAAAGCTTGGAAATGTGACATATGGTGAAGAAAAGGGACCTAGCTTAGATCTAAGACGGATAAAACAACTGGAAACTTACTTACTCCGTACGTAGCCAGCAGGCTAGCGAAGTAAACCCACATGGTTTATCTGAAACTTATCCCCCTATCATAGCAGGACGCGGACGGCTGAACTGAGTCAGACGTTGGCCTAAGAAAACATGGCGTTTCTTTGTCTTTGAACTAAAAAGGGACCGTTTTCGGACGACATTTAGAAGTCTGACTGAATTATTTTCATGCCAGACTAAAGAAAAGGCATGTTAAGACTAAAATGTCTGTCAGAATTTGGGGAATAGATATAAATTATATACTAGTATTTCTAATGGCGTTACGTCATCTCCAACGAAAATATGGCGTTTCGTTGCTGTCTTTCAACTAAAAAGGGATCGTTTTCAGACGATATTTAGACGTCTGGCTGACTTATTTTCATGCCAAACTAAAGGAAAGGCATGTTCTGACTAAAATGTCTGTCAGAATTGAGGGAATAGATACATTTATAATGGCGTGACGTCATCTAGATCTTCAAACGAAAACATGGCGTTTCTTTGTCTTTCAAGTAAAAAGAGACCGTTTTCAGACGACATTTGGAAGTCTGACTGAATTATTTTCATGCCAAACTAAAAGGAAAGGCATGTTCTGACTAAAACGTCTGTCAGAATTGAGGGAATAGATAGATTTCTAATAGCGTGACGTCATCTTCAAACGAAAACATGGCGTTTCTTTGTCAAACAACTCAAAAGGGACCGTTTTCAGACGACATTTGGAAGTCTGACTGACTTATTTTCATGCCAAACTAAAGAAAAGGCATGTTCTGACTAAAATGTCTATCAGAATTGAGGGAATAGATATATTCCTAATGTTGTGACGTCATCTTCAAATGAGAATGATCATATAGGGTCGGTTTGGACAGTATTGAAGGTTTCTCGCCTTTTTCAACGACACCAAATTTAAGCGACATATTCCTAAAAGTTAAGCAAACAGTTGCATGATACTATAGAATGTGTTATATTTGCTGTGTACAATTGGTATGCTAAAAACTAGGGAATTTGAAAAAGACAAGCCAGCAAAGGATATTTGAAGGGGAATCTTAGAAACAACACTGCATTTTTACAATTTTTTGTTGGTATTGCATTTTCGGGACTGTCGAA